TTTTTTTGTATGTTTGAAGATGGTATAATACGATGTGAATACCGTTTTAAATGCACATATCTCTTTTTTTATGCCGGTGTAATTATACCGAATTTGGTGGTCATAAATGGGTGGTGTCACGCCCATTTTCCAAAATTTGTTATATTGGTATTCTTGCTAAAGAATTATTCCAAACAACAGTTTTGAATTAATTAGCCCAGAAGTTACTGATTTATTGCAGATTTTTTACTTCTCTAAATTACCGTTATATGGGATGTGGACGTGGCTATTGTCCGTTTAATATGATGTACCAAGGACAGCAACTGTGCCAAGTTTGGTTGAAAATGGTTGAACGGTTACCGCGATACATATACACATAAGGTATAAGTGGGCGGGACTTTTCGAAAAAGATTTAATATTCCTATTTTTCCAAGAGATTGTTGTAAATATAAATTTAAAGTATATAAGCTTTAGTAGATACTGATATACATATCCCAGTTTATGTATTTCTGCAATCTTCCGTTATATTGGAGATAGGCGCGGTTAATGTCCCATTTTCAATACCGTGAGTCCTTAGCTCAAAAGAAATACACATGCCAAGTTTCGTTAAGATATCTTAATTTTTATCTCAAGTTATTGTGTGCACAGACAGACGGATGGACGATCCGATGGCCACATAGTCACGGTTTAATCGATTTCTCTTTTCTGAGAATTTTTTGATATATTCATGTCTATATCTATAATCCTATTGATCCCTTTTGTCTGTTACAAACAACCGTTATGTGAACAAGGTTATAATACCCTTGTGCACATATGCGCTCGGGTGTAAAAATGTACCACCTTTCGGTGCCTTTCTACAGTAGAAAGTAGAAATTCAACTGCTCTCACTTCTAACAGCCGTAACTACTAAAGTACATACTGTAAATTCCAGAATGGAGAGGAGCTTATAATCTTCTAAGAGTATGTAGAATTGTCAAACAAAAAAAAAATATACTTTTTTCAAGGTGGTGTAACCCGTTACGAAATCTTACTGAACCCTTAAAACTTTTATGAAAATGTAATTCGAACTTCTCTTATTACGGTTCACGTTTGATTCTTATGCTTTAAGAAATTAATTTTTTTATTAACTTATCTTTGAAGTTTTTTTCTATAATAACATAATGAGGACATGCAATAGACAAATATTTAATCACTTTATAAATCGGAGGAGAAGTTCGGCCAAACACTAAAATATATGTAAGCACCAATCTATTATTATTATTATTATTATAATACCGTTATAATTTATTTGTTACATAACATGTAAATGCATATATTTATGACTATGTTCCAACAAGTACGTTAGTAGATTTATTTGCTAATTTTTTTTTTTTGGAAAAATATTTTTCTAAAAAATACCAATGACAGATGGATTGAGGCACATGCCGAGAGTTAAAACTAGAATCGATATGGATAATAGAGCACAACACAGATAGTTTGGTTGAATAGGCATTTTGAAAATTTTAGCAGACATTTGTAAAGACGATGAAAACAGTAAAGTTGAGTTCAAATCCTCAGAGGACGTGCTGTGATACACAAACGGGCGAGCTCTGATATGATGACCGTTGGACTGGGCCTTTTGGCACGCCTGCGTCAACGAAGCAGCCAACACGAACGGTATGACGCCAAGCAAAAGCCAGAGTAGTACATTGAAAATGTTTAAAATTACAATTTCTAATGCAGAGTAATGAAAATCTAGATCGTTGAAAATGTATATCAAGCCAGCGAATGCGTACGCCAAATTCATGATCGTCAAGAAACATACGGGTACGGCGGCATGACGATTGAGGTGTTCTAATAGCTTGTGAAATTCTAGCACCTCCTTTGAAATATAAAAGAAAAAAGGATATAGTTTATGAAATTGCGTATAGTATATAAGCTGTATCTATTTTATTAACTCTAATTACCCGCATCCAATCAACAGTTTCAATGGAATGCATCAAAAGCTTATGCGACAGCGAAGAAATGTGTATACGCAGCAAATAGCACTGTATGCAGTAGTTGGAAAGAATTATTACTTCAACCAAATCTTGAATAAAAAGCGTCACAATCAGCACGATCTAAAGATAAAATAAAAAATATTAGTTTTACTAAACAAAAAACTCGAAGAGCAACTAGAGTATAAACCCTGACCTTCGTAGCCAATTCCCAGTCGGCTAATATACCAGTGAACCACTTGACTTGTATGATGCGCGACTGCAAAAGCACCGAAGGAATTGTATAAGCGAAAAGCAGCGCCAACAAAACGACTCCGCACAAAAGATATAGCCATAGGATTTTGCACAAGCGGCGCGGCACTAAGGTGGTTAGAAATACACGCTCGATCAAGTTCTGTAATTGCTCTTGATCGAGAATTTTGAAAACAATTACAGCTGATATGAAGCTGGATAAATTAAGTGCATTGGGAAAAATATGACCAAACAACAATTGGCCTACTGTGTATGTGGCATTTGAATTTGGATCAGTGATTAAATCCTGATCGTGTGCTATGAAACCGCGATCGCCGCTAGAGTTCGAAAAAAGTGAGTCATAGATAATTATAAAAAAAAAGAAAAGAAAACATTACCGATATGAGCATACATATTGTAGAAAATATCCAAATAGTAAGATTAACAAAACCAGCAAAGCTTGCGCATAGTTTAAGCAACAGAGTATCTTTGATGTATCCGTTGGTATAGGATTCACGCCGACAAGTGATAATACTATGATAAATGGACGCAAAAACTGCAATAAAGATATTCAAATAGACAAGATTAGACAAATAGTGCAAAGCAATATGTATTTGATTTATTTTACTTTGCGTTTACAATAATCGAGTAGTTCGGAAGTAGGTTCATGTGTATTCCTTAGATCGTCTACCTATGATAGAGAGAAAAAAGATTACAATTGATTGTGGAACATTTTTTTACCACAATTACATATTTATGTATGGCGACAAACTCTCAAAGTATTGGCAAGATTCTTTTCGAGGAAGGTTTAAACAGAACTTAAAAGCTGAAGTAAGGTATACAGCTATGGTAAAAGATTTAGCACCAAAATGATATTTTTTTATGTTATTCATTTTTTTTTAATTTTCATTTAAGATATAACTTAATCTATAACAGAAACAACATAAATAAAAGTTTCAAAGCTTGCACAAATTCCACAAAAAATTACCAAACTTCAAAAAAATTTCATAAAAATGTCAAACTTTTTCATCAGAATTTTTTAGAAAAATTTCGAGTATGCA